AACAACTGTCTGTCAGTTCCTAATGCGCAAGACGTTCAGACAGTTGGGATCCCATATTGGTGTACATATGCTCATCAAGGTTGCCGGAAACCACACTGTCACTTTGGAATCAATCTCTCTCTTCATGGAAAGATTAGCTCTCATGGCCACAAACGAATGATTTTCTTACTTCAAGATACGAAGTAGTCGAAAGGTTGAACAGGCTTCATCTAAGCCAAAATAAACAAGAACCAGTCGCTCATCAAAATGCTGCGCAAAACAGATTCTATAACAGGACTCAAACCTTTCTTGCAGAACCTAAGAGGGAAACTACTTGCTCTAACTGCAAGTGCCCTCGTCCTATTAGAGTCTGCCCACAATTTAAGCGAATATTGGTACCGAACCGAGTACAATTCGCAAACTAAACCAAGCTGTGCAAAATCTGTTTTGGTAATACTCACAGCACTAATGAGTGTCCGAGCAAGTGGTGATGAACACATAGCCAACAACGGTATTACTCCCTGCTGCACATGAATTCCAAACTACAATCTCGACGCTCTAGTGTGCGAGCGAATGAAACCGCCACACAACACACTACTGTCCAGTCGACATCTCCCACTTGACAAGCGCAGTCAAGCTCCAACTCCAGCGAGCAACCGTGCTGTTCAAATCAAGCACAAATACAATCATTGGCCACAGACAATGATGGCGAAATTCTCCTTCCAACTGCCATGGTCGAAGGATAACACGAGGGAGAATTGTTTCAACTTAGAGCCTTGATTGATCAAGGCTCACAAAGAACTTTCATTTCCTCAAAAGTTCAGAAACGGTTGAAAGTACCATTCGAACATTCCAAGTTCGAAATTTAGGGCATGGGCGGACACCTCGTATAAAGCTCCTCAAAACTTTGTCCACTTTCATTGGTTGCAAGCCATGCAACGGATAAATACACGTGTTACCTCAACTCATGAGGCACATGCCGACATTAGCCGTGAAAACCGGCAGCGATTCAAGCTCCTTGAACTTTGCTGACCCAAGTTGCCACATACCAGCTCACTGATATGTATTGTAATCGGCAGCGATATATTTCCACAAATGTTGCTGGAAGGTATACTAAAGGTTTGCGCAAAAAATATTTTCCTGGTCCAACAACCGAAAAAGTGGTGTCATTCTCGATTAGGGTGGCGAGATTTTTTTTCGTGGATATAAATACATCTGCGATTTTCAACGGCGAAAATTAAGTACTTTTAAGTACATTTTTAGTCTTGTGTAAAAAATAAAATATTTAATTTTTTACAAAATGTATATATTTAAAAAATCCATTTGATGGTAAAAAATAAATTTTTAGCATCGCGATGCAATACTTATAGCATAAATTACTTATGAATGAAGATTTGCATAATAAACAAAACTTAGCAATTCAAACAAAGTTTTTCTATATTTTATATTCAATATTTATCACTTTTTTTATATCATTCACTGGTTCAATTCCAGCCTCACTTTTTACTAGGAATCGTATTTTGACACATATGCTATGCGTACGCACACGCCCGAAACACATTCAACTTGCACTCATTGGTCGTTCACACGTGTGTGCATTAGTGGAAAACAAACTCTGCTCACAGCAAAGTGTGTGTTGTTTGTTATTAAAACTAATTGGTTATTAAAACTAAGTGGTTTAAAAAAAAAGCGCGAATTCTGAAAAAAAATCGCCAAAAATCGCCAATTGTTTTTTTAAATAAAATTCATGCAATCGATTTAAAAAACCTTTTATTTTAAAAATGAGATCTTGTTATATAGTTTTTAAAACCAAAAACTAATATAATACCTTCAGAGGGTAATAATAAATAACAAAAATCACTTATATAATAATGATGTACAAACAATTTTCTTTAAAAATAAGCATACTTTTTAAAAATATTTGTTTCAACACATTTTGCAATACGACTGCGAAATTATTAAATTTATTATAACTCATAATAATTGATTAATCGCACAATCCGCTTTTAAGAGCTCGGCGCTAAAAATTAAATAAAAACCTATACTAAGGCGAGATCCGCTATTTCCACATTTTCTTCAAAATCACCTATATAAACATACTGTTTGATATTGGAAACGTCTTGCAGCAGAAACTATTAGCCTTCATATTACACTTTATTCGAACTATTGAATTGAGGCTTTCCAACCTCATCCTATTTCGAATCTTAGTTTTTGTTGAATTCATTACGGAAAAAACGCGCTCAACAAAGCATGTAAGTGCGGCAAGTATAATAATAACATTTTTTTGCCTGTTGCCATCGGCGTAGCCAGAATGAAATTTAGGGGGGGGGCTCGACCCTATTAAGCTGGCATTCCAGGGTATTATTTTATATATATATAAGGAAAATTTGAAAGTTAGGGGGGGCTCAAGCACCCCCTGCCCCTACCTGGCTACGCCCATGCCTGTTGCAGTTTTCACTCCGTAAGCAATTATCCAAAATTCGTCAGAGTCGGATGGAATGGTTCTGAGAAAAGTTAATCCATGGGAAAGTTAAAAGATTTAAATATTCAGTTTCCGCTGCTTTTATTTTTTTCAAAGTCAAAGGTCCCTGAAACTCGCCCTGTTGTGATTCACACACTTTTCTGGTGACAAAATCAAAGCTTTTTAAAAGTATTTAATTGACTAGGTAACACTGGTCTACAAATTTCAACTTTTTTTCTGCGAATAAGACGGGACCTGGTGTTTCTGAACGGATTTTTCGTGCTGAACAGGAATCCGGGGTCAAAAATGTCCCATCACGTCACGTTTTCGAGAAAAAAGGGGTTGAAACCCCTAAAAACAGCGTTTTTGGCCATTTTCGAAAAATTATAGAGCTGAACCCTGACGTGGTACAAATTTTGCATATATCAGAAATTAAAGGCTAAACCGTGCCCTTTCGAATGAGCCCTATGCCGAATTGATCGCGTGCACCCTTAAAGCAGGGGGTGTATTTGTGTTTAGGGGTGCAGGAAAAATTGATCACAGAAAGAATTTAATCTTAAACGATCATAGAAAATTAATAATGCCAAGGTTTTAACTATATTAAAAGTCGCTGATTACGAATCTGCAGTTAGATTTTAAAAATTTAAGAAATTTATATGGTCGTTTAAGATGAAATTCTTTCTGCGATCAATTTTCCCTGGACTCCTAGACACAAATACACCCCCTGATCTAAGGGTGCATGCGATTAATTCGGCATAGGGCTCATTCGAAAGGGCACGATTTAGCCTTTAATTTCTGACATATACAAAGTTTGTAGCACGTCAGGGTTCAGCTCTACAATTTTTCGAAAATGTCCAAAAACGCTGTTTTTAGGGGTTTCAACCCCTTTTTTCTCGAAAACGTGACGTGATGGGAAGTTTTGGACCCCAGATTCGTGTTCAGCACGAAAAATCCGTTCGGAAACACCAGGTCCCGTCTTATTCGCAAAACCCTTGTAGACCAGTGTAATCGTTTCAAAAGTTCTTCGATTAGCATGATTAAACATTTTTGGCAGTCTTTTAATATGCTTGTTAAGTTAAGTTCATTAGCCTCTTCTGTAAAATTATCGTGGAAAACTAAGTTTTGTATAGTTTTATACTTGGAAAAAATTTATTTGTAGGGAAAAAATCGCCAATGGCGATTTCCTAAATTTTTTTCGCGCAAATATGCAAATTGGGGCGAAATCGCCAAATCTGGACACTCCGGTAGGCAGCCATGCGCGCTCGGTACTTATATTTTCGGAGTTGACGTTGGTCAACTACCAAACTGCTGCGACCAAGGATTGCGCCCACGGCCATCGTAATGTGGTTAAGCGGCGGCTTAAACACAGGGTTTCAAAGATTAATTTTTATTTCAATGAATAAAGCTAAGTACGGCCCTTTTAAGAAAACGGCCAAGAAATAAATTTATATTATTTCGTGTGTGTGATTAGCAGTGTCCAAGGTGTTTTGACATCTGATATTTTACAGCCTGCCGTCTCACTTTTTCTTTACGAAATAATGGAACGTGCATATTTTTCTGCTGAAAACAAGGAAGCCTAGTGCTCTTTACAAAGAAAAACTTTAGAAAGCTATGGTAGAAAGCATAGCAAATTTCTTTAGAACTCCGTACTGCTTAAGAAAATTGGGTTCAATAAAATTAGGGGCGTTTTTTTTATTCGTCCAACTAAAGAAATATTTACAAATAATAACATAAAAAGAGGTTTGGTTTTTATTAACTCCTAACTTCAATTGCATTTCTGCGCGGCGCAGATCATTCTTATTTGAGAATATCAAGCAGCACTTGATTGTCTATTGTAAATTTTCAATCCTTGAAATAAACTGAATAAAAGACAAAACGCTACACTGTACTTGCATATATTTTTGTTGTTGTTTTTCGAACATACTTGTGAGCATATTTACTAATGTTTTAGTGCTTATCTAAGTGTTCAAATTGCTTTTTTATTGATTATTTTCTTCGGCCCTGATTATGATAATACTCATACGACGAATTTTGTCAATGGTGTAGGAAGAGCGCTGAAATTTGTTATTCGTCAAGAATAATGTGATATAAATTTCAGCATGGTCCATTTAAGACAGTGATTTTATAGCTATAGCAAAGTAACATTTATGTCAAATAATATGCTTCACTAAAAGGCTTACTTTATCCAAGAAGTAGATATGTATATATGTATTTATTTCTCCATATTCAGCTATGACATTTTATGTATTACTAAACTATTTTGCGGGTGTAAAATTTTAGAACAAGTCGTTTAGCGGTCCTGAAATGACTCATTTCACTGAGTTAGAAGAAAGTCAAGCATCCTTGTATACAACATGGCAGCGGTTGTATAAGACCCTTAGTCCCGCAAATCAAGTTGCATATTCCTACAAACTATAATTACAGTATTGAAAACTAATTTACCAAAGTGAACGTCTAGATTTACTAAAAGTGATTTTAATCAGCAACATGCAAACATGGTCCATTATTCAAATCCAATGTCCGTTAATAAATTTTTATATTATATGCATAATGAACGTACCTCCGACAGCTTCACAATAAAGTATTACAAAATCACCCTCGTTGTAAGGTCCAACTACGGTAGAGCGCTTAGCACCCTTTTCGTCTAGAATGATGACCTCCTTAGGCAAAGCTATGTAAAGAGCGACTCGTTTTTATTCAAATAAAATCAGAACAGCCATATACATTAGATTTTAATTATATATCTTACCTATTACCGTCAATACGATTCGACAATTATGCGTTTGTGACTTCTCAAAATCTATCCGACATCTATACGCTCCAGTATCAGACACTTGACTATTGCGAATAGTTAACTTCCACGGCCCCTTATCAAGTGTAAGATGGGCTCTGTCTCCAAAAGCGGTTTCATCTGACCATCGCCTTGCAACTTTTGATATTCCAGCTCGAATGTCAACGCTGTTAGCAATTGAAAGAAAATCATTTTTATATATGCATTTAGGGATGTTCATTTATTCGATTTTTAAAATCCCGCGATTTTCGGGATCTTGTTATTCCAAGCCCGGAATCCCAGGATTAGTCCCGGGATTTAGATATTCAATATTTTTCAACAACTTAACTCGACAATATTTCATCAATATTGTTTGAGAAGCTTTCCTCCATATAACACTGTACGGCAAAATGAACTTCTTTTCTAGGTATTTGACCAAACTAATTTTTCTTAAGAGATTGAGTCATAGGTAAAACAGGGATTTGTCCGTTTTCCGAAGTTAGCCTTCGAATTTCGAAATAGGATCTTTGGTAAAAAAGTATATTTAATTATTGCATGTAAATAACTAAAAACCTAAAAATATAGACGTAGTCCTCCTTTTGCTCGTATTTAAATGGCATATAACTTTTTTTGTGCAAACTTATATTACAGGTGATATAAGGGGTCAAAATTAAGGTCTCCGAAAAAATTAAATTCCTTATATTGCAAAATATTTTGAACTGATTTTTATCGTTGTAAGGGCGGTTGAACCTTATTTCTTCCGATATGCATATTTGTATACTTCATATTAGAGGTATACGCCGCCGCCGCCGATTTTTGTCATTCCACACGCGCCGCCGCCGAGTTATGAAAATATCGGCGCAGCGACAGCGGCGCGGCGTTCGGCGCCTAAGGATTGAGTACAAAATTTTCATGATGTATGTACATTGAAATACATCGTTTGAAGGAACTAAATACTACTCGTTAAAAAACACAATTTTACGAAATGAAAATTACTCTTTTAAAGGAATTCTTGATTGCATAATTTGGGCCACTGGACAAGAATATGATCTCCTTTATTTTTCCAAAACGAGCGTAACTCAGAAAAAACATAGGTAACATATTTTTCGATCGAAAGCCTTTATTACAGTTAAATTTTTTCCGCAGTAGACAACTCTTTCCAATACTACAACAACAAGAAAGTTATAACACATCAAATACTTTAACGCCAATATCTCAGAAAGCAGTTTTAACCGAAGCAGCTTCTGTTCATCTAACCCATTCCATCTAACTCCTCAATTATTAGAGATAAAACAAAGACAAGTTGATTTTCCTGAGTAATTTTTTAGTTTTTTTTTAATTTTAAACAGACTTTAAATAAAGAGCAAACACTGTTTTTTGCTAATTTTTACATTCGTAAGTTATTTTATTCTGGGGTCCCACATACGTATACAAGTACTAGGTGGCTGTGTGAAAATTACGGTAGCATTCCTTAATGGTGGCCAAACCCCAGGAAGGTTTTGCACGCATCGCAACGTTTGCAACAAAGGGTTAAAGTTCCCCCTTTTTGGTAAAAATTAGTATTATTTTTCATTACATTCGGTTCTCCTTAGAAAAAGTTGGCGCTTAATATTTTAGTGGACATTTTAACCATCTATAAGCCATTTTTTCAAACAGTGGGTAAAAAAGACCCGTTCTGGTTCGAGTTGATGGGTTTAACTTTTGGGAAAAGTAGACCAACCTTGTTTTCAATATGTAATCCGCAAAAAATCGTAAGAACTCCGTAATTTAACATAACGGTTGATAAGATAATTGCAAACATTTTTTGGTAGCGACATAGTTTATCCCAATAACCTAACTTTTAAAATTTTTTATTTCTTTAAATTTAAATAATACATACGGATCTGTTCTGCGGAAAAAAATTATCAATTGATAAAAAATAACCCAGTTGTAGTTAGCTTTTTTGCGGGATTTCTATAAAATATATAACTTGTAGTTAACTACAAAAAGCTAGCTTGAAACTAGTTGACAAGTAATGCAGAAGTAATGAAGGAGATTATTTTCTTTAATCGCGTTTGAACAAACGCGCTGAGGACAACTAAAATGAAGATCGAAATTTCATATTATCATTTTGAATTTATGTCTGACAGAGTTCGAATATGGGACCACCTACAGCAGAATATGAAAACAAATATGAAATGTAATAAAGTAAATAAAAATTAAAAAATAAAATAGAATAAAATAAAAATATTTTGTTTTTCCTGTTGATATTTTATGTCCAAAAGTAGGTAGTTACAAATTAGTTACATCTAATGCAGAGGTAAACCACCCTAGACTATTTCGCGTCCATCGCCATGGAAATATAGTTTAGCTTTCGTCAAAGAAAATATACAGATAATAAGTGACTTTTAGCTCCTTCCTAATCAACTTAAAGTTAGCTTATAGTTAGATACATTTCCTGCAGGGTGTAGAGAACATACAGAGCCATTTGTGTATGTATGTATATACCTCAGCCGTTCTTCTGTTCGTCCATCGTAATTTAAATTTAAAACTAGTTCAATGAATAAATTACATAGAATTATAATCTGAATTGGCATGGTGAACGGCATGGCATGGCCTAACGCTGACGAGATGACATGATAAGATGAGTAGCTTCATGGCTCTTTGGAATCTACCTCATGGGCAATAGCGCCGGCGTTTCCAGACGAGCCGGCGTCGCCGATTCTTTTTGAAGTTGACCACGCCGCCGCCGCCAGGCGTGTCGGCGTAAACCTCTACTTCATATATAAAATTTTTAGAAAAAACACATTTAAATTAAAAAATACCTTTTATTTATAAAAAAAAATATTTTAATCAAAAAAATCACTAACAGTTTTTTAAAACATTGGTGTCGTTGTAAAGACGATTGAATTCCCCTTTTTATGATATATATATTTGTATACTCCGTATATAAAAATTTTAGAAAAAACACATTTAAAGAAAAAATACCTATTTTATAAAAAAATTTACAAAAAAATTACTAACCGATTTTTAAAAGGTTGGTAGCGTTGTAAAGGTGATTAAACGCCCTTTCTTCTGAAATGCATATTTGTATACTTCGTATATGAAAACTTGAGACAAACCGCATTTAAAAAAATAACAAAAAAATTACCAAACGATTTTTAAACAATTGGTCCCATTGTAAAGGCGATTAAACTCCCTTTCTTATGATATACATATTTGTAAACTTCGTATATAAAAATTTGAGAAAGACACTTAAAGGAAAAAGTACCAAGTTTTTGTTATACAAAATATTTTAAACAAAAAAAATTCTAATTAGTTATACAATTGAATACTTTATTTAAATAAAACAGAAAATTACCCTTAATTTGTATATAATATTACAAAACCGAAGTAAGAGGTCTAAAGAAAAAGTCACTTTTGATATTAAATCACAACAAAACCAAAGGGGACGTTAATAACATGGTTTAACGCTTAGCAGAATATTCACTTAAGCGGCAAACGAATAGATGTCCTTTACCGTTATTTTATAATATCCTAGATGTGGCTGCCTTTGATACGTATGTACATAATTTACGTGGAGACAACCCACACCAGAAGGCTTCTACAAACCGACGTATAATGTTCCTTCCTGAACTTAGTGACCACCTAGTGAAACCTGAAATAGAAGTGGGAACTATTAATCAATGGCTGAGTGGAAGATCGACCTATATCAGCAGCCAGTTCGAAAACGCTCTATCTCAGAAAACTTTTAAATAACGCCCTTCTTCATAATTTGATTGAAGAACGCCCTATTTAAGAATTTTATTGAAAAATACCCTATCTCAGGATTTTGTTTGAAGAACACCCTATCTCAAACGAAAATACATTGAAAATGTGGGGAGATAGGGCGTTTTTGAATCAGTAGCTGAGATAGGGCGTTCTTCAATAAAATTCTGAGATAGAGAGATAAGAAAGAAAAGCATGGGGTCAGGACTTGTAAGAGTAGCGCCACATGTGTACACGTCGATGTTCTGGGTAATTTACGTACCCCGCGGGAGTTACGAAGCTAGAAAGAGCGCGAGTCACTCCAAGACATTTTTTTTCAACTTGAAATGGCTTTGACCCCATGCGCCTAATTAAGGGTTAATTTGAAGTTCTCCCGGAAGTCCCTCATTTCGGCTTCGAGCAGTTGCACGCATGTTGGGTTCTCTCCCCTGGCGGTAGCACTTTCGCTTGTGTCACGCTTTTCGTCTTTAATGTTTGCGGAAAATCTTGACCCGCCGAATCCGTGGTTTGTTCGGTGGCCACGGCGTACTCTCAAATGGCGGTCGCCATGGTCGAATGCTTTGTGGCTCATCTCGAGCAGCTGGATGGAGTTTTCGGCGACTCATCACTGCGGCATAACTGAAGCGACTGAACCTTAAAATCTTAAAGGAGAAGATGGAGAGCGGATATTGATTTTGTCGCGGCGGGCTACGGTCGCTGGTCGGTTGCTTATGTGCTGAATGGCTTTAGGCCCCGAAGGGGTACGTGCGCTAGCTATTTGTCGGGCCGCTCGGGGTTGACTAGTTTTACCGTATTTGTAGATATGAATTTGGTGATTGTGTATGGACTTGAGGATTTCGGCGCAAGTTTCTGTGCGTAGTTGTCGACAGCAGAGGAGAGTGGGTTATCTCGCTTCATGATTTTCTCTACCACTTTAGGTTTCCATGTCCTTATGCGTAGATTTGGCTGAAGCGGTGAGGCGCCCCTTTTTCTCTGCCCATACCTCGGTGATGGCTGGAGGTACTGTGGGGTGCTCCTCAGGTACTGCCCCTTCGGAGCGTATCTGCAGTGGCATCGCCGAATTGCGCCCAAAGTTTATCTCCGCGACGGAAGCTTGCGTGGATTTGTGCTGAGCCGTGTTCATAGCGAAGGCGACCTGGAGAAGCTCCTGGTCGCAGGAGCGGTGGTCTCTTTTTGAACGTTGAGCTATCATGGTTTTAACCACCCGGGGTTTCGTGAGTGGCGTATACTGCGGTGAATTAATGCTCTATGCGGTGTTCGCTAAGGAATGCTATCGCCTTGGCCACGAATTGCTTCTCGTTGTAGCTGAGAAGAATCACAGTCAAACCGGTAAATAATTCTATCCTGGAGCGCTTTAATGACGTTTGCGTGGTCGGCTGGCGTACCAACACTCGCCGGTGATGGTCTCCACGGTGTGGAGCGTGTTGGCTCTGTCATCGGT